AAGAGAGAGAGAGAGAGAGAGAGAGAGAGAGAGAGAGAGAGAGAGAGAGAGAGAGAGAGAGAGAGAGAGAGGTTTGTGACATTAGGCTTCGTCGACTTCGGGTTTAGACTTGACATTGGGGCAGAGACATTGTGGGGGGACTTTTTTTGGATCATTATCAACGACACTTTGGGTTGGCAACAATTTCCATCTCCTGCCCCTTCATCTCTCCTCCCTCCTCATCTGTGTATGACACGAGCCTGGCGCCCTTCCTCTTTGTGTCCGGCGCCAGGCTACTCACACCGTGTGATGATGATGATGACGATGTTCAGTCTGTGTCACGACATTTATTGGGTCTAATTGTTGGTATTTCAGTCTTCTGCTGTGCTATCATCGCTCCGTTTTTTAGAGGTCGGTTCTTGGTTCTGGTTTGCGTCATTTGGCATGCGACATAGACTGTGATGTGTTCCTTGGGGGAATCACCACTAACCGGACTCCCTTTCCGTAGAGTGTGCTGACGAACTCCCTACGCTCAATTCTGGTTTCCCTGCAGCCTAAAGCATCCTTGGATCTTATGATTAGTTTTCTGGCAATGCAGGCAACCTCCTTTATTTAATCTAGCCTTCCATTCAGCCTCACTGATCCGGAAGTCAACCCAAGGTTTAGTACTTGCGTCCTTCGGATTGGCTGGGATTTTGGCTCCCTTAGGGAGTGCGACAAAGTTCCTTACCGAGTTCCAGTTTTTGTTTCCCTTCCTATGAACAGTCTTTTTGAAGGCACTGAATTTTTCCTCTTCGTTATTGATCTCGGACTCTTGGGTCAAAGAATGGGCTGTATCGGCATCATATTCTTGGTCATCCCCAAGAGTGGGGTCATCTGCTTCAGCCTCCCCTTCAACCTCCAGCAAATCAAGCGCAGAAGGACGGTTGGCATGGTGCCCTGCCACTTGCTGCACTTGAGATCATCAAGTTGGATCCTTCCTCTTGCTGCAGCATATGGGTCCTTATACGGTGCTATTAGTATCTCTTCGAGAGTGGCTGCCAAGGTAGCTTTAAGCCACTCCGTCAAATCGATCTGAGGATACCCAGCTTGCATAGCTTGGATTTCTAGGAAGCCCCGTACGACAGTGTCAACGTTTGTCCCTATGATCAAGGACTGATTCACTCTTTGAGTGCCCTGTACCTTAAGCTCTCATGGAGCTGATCCAGGACTCGATATCTTCCTTGATGCAGATTTGCCATCTGCTGCATCTTGTCACAATGCTCCTTCGAGTCCGCAGCTCGCTCGCCTGGTCGAGTAATGGGGACCTGTGTCGCACACCGAACATGTTCGGGTGTTCGGCCGAACGCCACCCGTACGTGTTTGGCCGCAGATATTCAAAAAAAAAAAAAAAAAAACTTTGTTTTTGGTTTTTGATTTTTAACTTGAGTTTGGTTACGAATTTGACCATACCTCCAAGGCAAAAGTTGTTTGTATTATTATTTTACATAACATATATATTTTTTCAGATTTTTTGGAGAACTTTTTTTTTTTTTTTTTTAATATTTTTATGTTCGCGTTCGGAGAGTTTCGGCGCTCGTTCGCGTTCCGTCCCGAACGTTCAGGTTCGGTCACCAAACCCGAACACGATGCTACACAGATGGGGACTTTACACTAGGGAGCTCACTGAACAAGTGACAATCTATAAGGGCTCGTACACAAGTGATCAGATCCCTTTTGACCTTTGTACCAGACTTGGTTGAGGCTATTTTAAAAATGGCCTCATAAGGTTCAAGAGCGGTTTTCCGCTTGGCCTCTTCCTCCTCTTTGGCGAGTTCCTTCTGGTAGAGGGCCTGGTACACTGGTTTGTCCTCATCATCCCCTGCATCCATCTAAGCCTTCAGAATTTCTGAAAGCTTGGTCGGTGCCATGTTGGAACTACTAGATCCTTCAGTTGGCATATAGCCTCTCTCTTTCTTCTCTCTTGTCCACGTGCCACTACGGGCATAAAATGAACTTCAGCAAAAGAGACAGACTGAAAAGCACAAAGGAGAGAAGGTAGAAATCCTAGCCGAAACGGCGAAGTATTTGGATTACAGAGCAACAAAAGAAAAAAATTAATCAGAAGAGAGTTCTGACTCCGTCTTTTAGTCCGGTCAGACCAAGTACGAGATCCCCTTGAGCTTAATCCGATCGGCACCGTCGAAGTACATCAAATCAGACTACAAGTGACGACATACAACAATGGAGAATTGAATGGTCTATAAGGTGCAAGTCAAGCATCGGATTTTGCGTTATCAGTCCGCAAAACATCTCAGCCGAGATCCCCTCGGCAACGAGTGCTCTAACCAAAAGAAAACAACGGATTCCAAACAAAAAAGAGAGCGACATTGCGTCAACGGATTTGGCTCCAAGGGCCTTCTTGTTTGGGCCTGGTCCCACAGAGTCCCAATGGGTCCCACGAAAGTCGCGACCAAGTCCCAAGCAAGAAGAGTACCACAAGGTCCTACTTTCTGTGTCTATCGTACTGAAAAACGAAATTTAACTTTTCAAAGAGAATGTACAGACTACATCCGCTCAGAATGCAAAGACGATGTAAAAAGATACGGCATTGAAAGCAAGATACTTCATCTCTCCACTCATCAGGTCAGTAAGTAGTTTGCACACCAATGCACACAACCTCGACTTCAAAGGAGAAGGAAAGTGACCCAGAAATACCCCAGCAGAACAAACAATACCACGGATGCACACTTGGGCAACCCTTAGGTGCACAACAATTACCTGAGTGGCCCAGACTCTAAGATGAAGTATAACTCACCCCCCTTCCTCATATGGTCTCCCTCACCCCAATCGCTACCTCTAGACTAGTATCCTATAATGTAGGAGGGTCTGACTCCAACACCAAAGTGCAATGCTGGATCCCCCGCCAATGCTGAAGAACAAAGTAGCAACTTGCAGTCCATAGATGCAGAATGGCCAGCTCCCTCAAGATCGCCTGTTTGAGAGAGGTCCTTAAGTCACCAAGTGTCTCCTTACGTCAGATTCCAGGTGCGAGTGCCTCTCACTGTCGCCTCTCTCAAATTGTCGCATGAAGTCCTCTTGATGTGTCTCGCCACCACAGGCGTACTCTCAATCAACTGGTCAGGTCTAGTGTCAACCCAACACGACCTAACCAGGTGGGGGAACCAGCAAAGACCAACGATAATCCCTTTCGCCTTCGCCAACCACTCTCCTCCTCCTTATCTCCTCCCCTTTTTTTCAAACAAGAACAAATAATAATAATGTTGAATGGCTGAACAGAATCAATGTCTGAATCCGTCTTCTACCGCAGGTCTCACATTAGGGCCACCGTAGCCATGGCCACCCTTCTTCCTCCTTCCTCCAAGGCCGAGGTTATGGCAAACTACCAGGGCATTGCCCTGCTGTGCAAAGGACAACACAAAGCAGCTGTGACTGCTCCTGTTGAGGCCGCCATGCCTGACTCTGCCTCGAAGCTTCTTGGTGCAGCTCTACCCCACTGGGGTCTTCCAGATGCAGCGTCCACCAAGGGGATGAAGATGGCGTCCACTATAGCGGTAATTACCTTTAGTGCTGCCCCCTTCCTAGTACTTGTCTTCTTCCTCCTCCTGCCCTTGCTCCTTCCCCAGCAGCGCTGCTCTGTGCTAGTGCTGCTCCAGCCAGCGCTCCTGCCCGTGTGTCGCCAAGCTTGCACACCAACAACGAGGAGCACTTCCCTCCGCCTGGAGATGCAGCGCTTGCCTCTTGGCGAGTGACTTCCTAGGCCATGCAGCCTCCAAGCAACCCGTACCTCCTCCCATTCGGAGGGAAACATTATTCCAGACTCTGATATTGCCCATCCAGGCCCTAGGCTCAGACTGGTTGGATTGGTACCCGCCAAGACCTAGCCTACAACTACTGTGCCTCTAAAAATGCCAATTTTGTCTTCTTCTACTCGGCCATGAGTACCCGGCACATCGACCTCTTCTTGGTGTGGTACCCGCCTACCTGCTACTGGAGTTTTTTTCCGCTGCTTCAAGTGCCACGGGCCTCTTTCCCTGCCACTTGAGTGTTTTCCCCGCTGCAACCCTCAATGTCATGGCCACAGGTATGCACCAGCTCTTTGCGCCTTCCGCACGGACAAGTACCTTTGCAGGTCACACACACACACACACAAGACTCAAACTGACAAGCACTCAGACAGGCATGCAGACCAGCAAGCATGCACACACACTCAGACTTAGAAAAATCAGCAACAAGCGGAAAACTCAGCAAGGCTGATCTTGAATTTGTGATAACAAGGCGGCACTTATACACTGAGCTTCGCCCTTCACTATCCATTTTGTGTTTTTCCAATTCCGTACTTTGCGCAATGCTTTATGAGGCCCAGTAGAAGAGGGCAGTTCATAGATGGCATCCACAATCATTTCAAGGACTTGGCTTGGTAAAATTCAGAATCAGCTGTGTGTCTCAGTCCGTGTTTGGCAGGTCCTAACACAGGTAAGGATCTGGGATCAAATCCCAGCAGGCAAATGAACGTGAATCCCTTCAGAAGACGATAGCAACATCGAATCCCCCAACCCACGTAACACATGAAAATGCACATAGTAATATACTATACAAACAATCATGTACCAGACATGGAGGACATGTTTTACTTGAAAACTATGTCGGGACATTCCACTGCGCATGCAATACATTCCCCATAAATTGTCGTCTCACTGTTCTCAGACCATTGAACCGCCAGCTCCTCGTTGCCCAAAATTTTCTTTATCAGTCGCCTGTGGAACACCCAGACTTCCTTTTCCGTGACCAGAAAAACCCAATCAGAAGTTAAAAAAAAAAAAAAATGGTCAGCAGACTCAGCACAGCTTTTTGTTTCCTTCAAACCATGGGCCAATCTTGTGAGAATTTTAAATTTTGGCTCTTATTTACTCGGAGTGAATATCGACCAGTCTATTCCATCCAGCTCACCTGGATAATGAAGTATCGTGTATGGCTGCCGAGGTCATCACAAATGAACCACTCACACGGACAAGATGGCTGTTGCTCCGGTTCAGTAATTGTTTGTTTATCCCTTTGTGTCTGTGCAGGCTGCCGGGTCTTTATATTGTCACGTGCTTGCACATCTGTTCGTGTCACAACATCCCCCACCATCTTCCTCCGGATGGGACGATTATGCATACTGAACTTTGCAGATTGTGCAGAGTCCCGTAAACCTTTCTTCACCTCATGTGCCATGCCTGACTTCAAACAGCTCTCCTTCGCCTTTCTCTCCCTTCTCACCTCCATATCGCTTCCTGCCTCTTGAACAATCCTAGGGAGATTGAGTGAACCTACATCCAATGTTGCAGTCATTTCTGCGGAGCTGTCGAGTGCAGTGTCCAGGCATTGCCTCTCTGCTGATGAGTAATCGTGGCCATCCACCCCATAACAAAGATTTGCCTCGCCACCAGACCCATCCAGGTGATTGTTTTCAGCAACAAATGGTAGCTGACCAGTAAGTGACGCTGTTTGAGAGTCTTCATTGCTGCCAGCAAGTGCAGACGAAGCATCCACATCGGCAAACACTGGTAAGGGATCTCCAATAAAGGACAAAGACGTTTTATTCGGTTCCTTTCCTTCACCCTCTTTACCTTGTGCATCCTGCTCCTGCCTGGCCTGCCCAGCTTCATCTTTGCCATCGCGCCTTCTCTGAAAGTACGAAACTGCAGCAGTAACAAAGGCATACGCCGTTGCCGGAGAGAACCCCCCCTTTGTTTCACTCTCCTCCTGCTGCTGATTTTCCTTCGCACCATCTCCTGACTTCTCGTGCAGATCATCAGTCACAAGACTGCTGTTGCTGTTGTTTTTCTGAGGAGCTTCCTTCTGATCAAGGGATGATGTTACCATCCTCAGGCGGTACTTGCGAAAGAGCTGACCAGCCTGCCAACATAGACAACAGACATACCAATATCAGCAACAGCCATTCTTTTGAATGCAAGCACCAGAAGCGCCAATGTCCTGCACTCTGTTGCTTCTCCCTGAACCCTCCCTCCCCTCTCCTCCTTGCCTCTCAAGTAAGGCTCACGATATTGATGCAGTAGTGTGAGCTGCCTACACCCAAGCTGTATATAGAGGGAGACTAAAGGCGTGAGGAGATGCAGAGAGAGTGAGAGGGAAGGAGCAAAGAAAGAAAAGTCAGGTGCGGGACAAAACTGAGAGCGTAGGATAGGATAAGAGAAGACGCAGGAGTCTGTCTTTCCTTGACAACAGGCTAACATAGACTATAGGAATGAGATGAGTGATAACATGGCAGACCTAGTTAAGCAGCACCTGCACAACAGTTGCGCTGACGGCTGGCATCAACTATGCCCACCAAACACTCCCAATAAATGACATGTCAGTTACGAATGCGCGAGGAAAGAACAACGGGCAGACCACACATTCATCATGACGTCCCTGGCCGCAAAATAGACAGAACGTCCATATGTGGAGGATGCACACAGTCAGGAAAATAGACGTCCCTTGCATGCTTTCGATTCCGGTGGAGACCATGACACCTGCAGCTGAGCATAACACTATATGTACCTGTGCACAGCAAAAAGTCCCAGATTATCGGCATATTGCCCTCCAACGGCACAGGACCAGAGCAGTGGTCGTCAATATAAGACTGTGCACAGCCAGAAGAGAAACGATGTGATGATTGTTAAGGTGCCAAACTAAAATGTTGCTCGCCACGCCAAGTTCCCCATGGGTCCCAATCAAAGTTTTGTCCACTGTGCCAAGATCCCAGTGGCTCCCAATCAAATGTTGGTCAGCATTCCAAAATTACAATGGCTCTCATGTGCACCATACAATTATCCCGGAGCCTTTTCCTTACAAAATGGTGACATCAGTGGTACTAACCAATGCATCGCTGGGAAAACGGCATCAATAATCAATTAGAACTGTTACACATGTTGAGGTGCTGCATGCCATCCAATTGTATTGCTCGTATCAACTTTCTAACCTTCCTTTTCTAATCTTCAGGCCACCCCCCCGAAAACCTCCATTTTCGTAATCTTAAGGCCATCATTCTGAAATCCTCCGTTTCTGTAATCGTCAGGCACAACCTTCAGAAAACCTCCGTTTTTGTAATTTTCAGGCCATCCTTCCGAAAACCTCCGTTTTTGTAATCTTCAGGCCCCTCTTCCAACATTTCAGCAGATTTTCGTGTCCCGATTCCTCCCCAACCCCACTCCAATCCCGAAGCTCTGAAATGGCAGCAACCTACTCATACAACTTACACACACCCACGCTGGTCCACAGAATTAGGCTGAAGATAATGGGCAGAGAATAGACCTTCAGTATGCCTCTCCTCAGACAGGGCATTCGTTTACCCTCAGGGATAAAAGTGCATGTCCCTTCCAGTGGTCTAAATTTGTCTGTCTTGAAGGGACAAAACGTTCCTCGCAACCCTCTCTTATGTCTGTCCCCTTCCCATATAGCCCAGCTTAATCTGGACACTTGTAGGCCCCCAAGTAGTCACCAAACTACTATTGTAGTTATCACTTCCATGCCCTTACAGAGGCATACTACCTGAATAATAAATCATTGATTCATTGGTGATGCCATATGAACTGGCCAAGAACCCTCCAAGCTCCACCATGTCATCGCTAATCAGAGACCTGCGAGCTGCATTTCTCCATTGGTAGTGCACGTGAACCAGCATATGTCTCAGTCTGTCATGCTCTGACAGAAGACTGATTGCCTAAAGAGTCCCAAACCGCCCCTACTGCTGAGTGCATGAGCTGCCATCATAATGGCAGCCTAATTGTGGACCCCACAATGAATGATGGTCGGACATTGGCAGCAGAGCACTTTGTTGAGCGTAAAACAACATGGCACTTCCAAGACAGTGTGGGACGGCTACACACTCTGATAAGCGAAGTGCAGCAGTCATGTCAATAATGAACCGTTTTACTGAGTACGGACGCCGCCCAGCCGGGCGGGGCCCGGGTGGGTGGCCCGGGCAAACCGGGCGGGCAAAAATACAGCCCGGAAATATATATATCGTCACAAACAGAACTGCCCGGTAAAACCATAGGCAGAGAGAGAGAAGAGGACAACAAACAAGGGGCTGTGACAAACTGTTTCGTCGGAGTTTCACCGACTCATATATATTTTTGAAGGCGGGGTCCTCCTGTGCTCGGCGAGAGGACCCCGAATCTGCAATAAAATTCTGGTTTTGGGGGGGGG